ATTTTTTTTATCTTTTTTTTTTTTTTTTTTTTTCATCAGTAGATCTCACGATAAAATATTTCGCCTCCAACAAAACATAAATTTTTTAGTATAAAATATAAAATGGAATGCCTTAACTCAATCCAAAAGCTAGCTCAAGGGAGAGGATTCCCAAGCCTTACATATAGTATTTTGACCATGTTCCTACATCTTAACATAAGCAAATAATACTAGTAAAATAATAAACAAGCACTACTAGGGTAATTTTTTATATGGTCCATTAGACATTCTCCATAGTTGTTCTTCAATCTTCTTTGGATGTGTATTTCACATATTACTCCCGCACCTTGCTAACCATTTCAAACTTACCATCCTTTTATTTTTTATATTTGATCTTCTTAACCGCCTATATTCCTTTACCCTCTTATATCTCTATTTTTAAATTGAATTTCAGTATTTTTTGAAAAGAAATGGTCAATAGTTAAAAAATAGCCTTTTCCTTAAAAAATAACCTTATATCACAATTTAAGTTATTCATAAATCCAAAATATAATTTATATATTAAAAATATTTATTTATTATGGATTCCAATTATCACAAAATCTATATATTCAAAAATATTTATTTATTATAAATTTTAATTATCATGTGATCTATAAGTTCAAAAATATCTTTTATAAAATTTAATCATATAAAAATAAATATTTATCCTATACGATGCACATGCTAAAATGTTAGTATATAAAGAAATTTAAAATGGGAATCCGTCTTAATGCAGCTCCACACTTGTTCAAATCATTGATACTTCCCAACCCAAAAAGATAGGCACTGGCTTAAGAATGCCAAACATAAGCAATTTCATCAAATTCTAGTAAGAGTTTGATAACACAAATAATGCATTTTGTTTTATTTGGCCATTTTGTTGTGTTAGATCGTATATGGCTTGAATACAGACAATGGGATATGGCCTGATAGTACAAAGAGGCTTAGCTCTTATACCGTCATTGTTATCCAATTGCATAAACAATAAGATAGCATGATGCTACCCTAATAGATGTTTGTCGTCAGGCAAAATATAATCTGGAATTACTTACTGATACAGAAAGCCCTTCTTTGCACTTATGACATATATGATTCAATTACTATAATCCCAAATAAAAGTTACGGACTTTAATCATGAATCCTGATTTATTAACGCCAAAAAGATGCTAGTTAACTGTAGAATGAAAATAAACCAAAGGAATGAAGAAATTTTTATTAACCCAAATGGAGAATTAAGATACATGAAATAGGAATAAAATTGGGCCTCAGTGAGAAAATAGACAAAGCAAAAAGTCATTAAACAGAAATCAGAAAGAGCTAAAAATGGGCAATTATAGAAAGGATGATTTAAAATATTATTAAAATTATACGTGTTGCTTTTAGGAATAGTTGTCTTTCTACTTTTGTAATAAAGAGATTTATCTTATCTTCAGATGATTTGGTTTCGGGAGTTTTTGTTTAATTAGAGTTTTTATTACGTTTGGGTTATATAAAAAGCCCCCTTTAGGTGCCTTATTTCTTGAAGACTCCTCTGATAGACTGATATTACTCGTGTGTAGGGGTAGTGGCATTGGCAAGTTGGTGGCAGCAGCATTGGGATTACACTAGTGCAAGGAAGGAGGCCAATTTTTGTCCTGTTAGGTGATATCAAGTGGTAGGGGAGTGATTGTGAGGGAATCAAAATGTTTGACTAGATTTGACTACCCTATTAGGTGCCAACACATAGTAAAAAATAGTATTTATTCACGCTTAAGATCTACTTTATACAGTGCACCAAACTAAACCTTTAAGGTTTTGACATTAAGAATCATGAACAGAACAATACAACCAAGTATATTTTGTCTGCTCTAAATGACAAGGAACAAAGGTGATATTGAAAGCCATGTAACAATACTTGCTTTAAACAATTACCTGAATGAGTTGTTGAATAATGTAATAATTTGTCTTCTCTTTGAGCTCATCAATTTTTGCCTTCCTTTCAGCTCTAAGCTTTTCAAGAATTTTCTGGTCCCTGCGATCACCTACAAAATCACACTTTATATTTAAATTTTAACCAGTTTTGCACTTGGCATATCAAACTCTAAACACTAGCTTCTAGTCCAAAAACTGCATCAATAAATTGGAATCCAACGTTACAAATACAATCACCGGGGTTGTTAATGATATAGCTTTTACAACTTATGTTTACTAATGGTACCAAGATTGCATGATCTCTAGGACATTCTACTTTTAATGAATGTAAATATTTGTTAAAATCAAACATGTTTTCAGCATTTGCAGCAAAACTAGAGCTATTGATTTGATGCATGGAGAATTTTTTAACAAAAAGCATTAATTCATCAGAGTACAAAATTAAAGACTTTTCCACTCAGACTGAGAAGTAAGTCAGAACTATTTCCAACTGTAAACAACTTCATATAAGGGAATGAGAGGACTATAACAATTGAAAAGCTCAAATTTGAGAATAAAAACGGGAACACAAAAAGGTTCGATTGGCCTACAAGTCAGCTGCAAATTCAATAGAAAAGATAAAAATATTGTGCTCCAATTTACAACAAAATAAAGAAAAATAAACTAGCTTCTATGAGATATGTATGTTAACTGTAAAGCTTGAGTTTGGACACTTACACATCCTTGTGAAGCTGACAAATGTTGAATATGTAACAGATGACAAAGCAGGCAGAAGAAACATTGGCAAAACTCGGATTGCTCTCGTTTTCCAATTCAAATCCATTGATCTTGTCGTCATAATAGCATAACCTACAGCAATGACCTGAAAGTTGAAACCATTTTAAGCAAAATCCCTTTTAGAAAAAAAGCCAGATAATATTAATTTTTCAGTGGAGAAAATTAAAATTTGAGTCAAAATCTCGTTGTCATTCTACAAAGACGGAAACATCATCACATAGCCATCAAAAACTTATTTCATTCTTTTATTCAAAGGTTCTATGGCACAATCTCCAAACCACGTTTACAATTACACTCCAACAGTGGTTCTACTTTCCATCCGAACAAAATCAGTTCTCCTCAACAAACTTTTAAAATAGAGTTCAATCTATTATTATTTTACGCAGACGTCTTATCAAAATCCACCCTATCGTAGCAGCAAGTGTGGTAAAATAGTTAAATCTTATTAATAATAAATAAATAAAAAGTTTAACGATCATGTAATGATAGTGTAAAAGTATACCGAATCAAATATCACCGCTGACACTGCATAAAAAATAAATTATTAAAAAAATGATTCCCAAAGACAAATCACTTTCTATTAACCTCAATTAGTCAATTCATCCGAAATCCAAAAACAAAAGAACTCTAAAACACCAAAACTCCTCAAAAACCATGAAGGCGCCAAATCCATGACAAAAACCTTTCAGAAAAACAAAAGCACACAAAATCCTCGTTTCTTCACAGCACCAAAACGAGGCTCCGCTCAAATCCTTCAAACACCACTCGATTCAAATTTCAAATTGCGCAACAACGTCGAGATTTCGAAGCCTCCAAAAACCAAACCGCAGCCACAAAGTTCTGCAAACCTCCGAAACCACCGCAATCACGGCCACAACAGCGCCAAACGCGAAGAGCGAGGAGCAAAATCCATTTCCACTAGAAGAACAAAAACAAAGCAGCGCGAAATCGACGTGCGTACCTCAAACAGAACAGAGAACAAAATAAGCTGGCGCGAGGTTCGCCTCCAGGTGCGAGATCTGGCACTCATTCTGGCCACAACAACGTTCTCCTCCTTGGAAATATACTGAAGCCTCTTCTCGAAATCGTCGCCGCTAGACCTGAAAATCGCGTTCCAAATCCGCGAAACGAAGCCTCGCTTCTTCTCCTTCTTCTTACTATCGCTCTCTGCAGCGTTATCGGGAGCGGCTTCTCTCTCCTCCGCCATCACCGTCACCGTGTTTCTTCGAAAGAGTTAGTTACTGCACTCAGAAAAGAAGAAGAAGAAGAAGAAGAAGAAGAGTTTAGATCTGTTATGGTTCTAGAATGTTCGGTGGTTTAGATCTCGGTGAAGCGCGACTTAGAGTTATCGAAGCGAGAGAGAAATGAGAGGGTTATTCAAATTTTTGGTTTCACGCCACCAATCCTCTCTTTCAAAACTTTGGGTTCGTCTTAATGGAAAAACAGAATAAGAGAAAAAGCGTGTGAGGAGTTCACTCTACTCGTCAAACTTTACTTTCTCTATTTACAATTCTAATCATAATAATTAAAATAAACTTTATATTTTTAAATTAATTCTTTTTTTCTTTCTAATTTTAATTTATCCCTTTATGAGGAATTATTAAATAAATTTATAGATTTTGTAATAACTATTTTAGATTTTGGTAGGAATATTGAAGTCAGATAAACTTATTTGGCAAATTGGACAGTTAATTGACTTAATTGTTAAGAAAATTTCTAAAAATATTATTTGTAATGACCGTGACCGGTGCGATGTCGCTTCAGTTGAAACTCGAAACGGTCGACGTCAATTTTTTTTGTGTGTTCTGATTAATCTTCTCTTTACATTAGAGACACTTTAAAAAATGTAATAGCTGCTCCTAAGATTTAACGTGACTGTATACATAATATCACTTATGTATTAATAATCATTTTAAAAATTATATTAATAATTTTTTTTTATTAACAGGGTAAGATTAGTATTTTATCAACTGCTGGGTGATACTCTAATTCATTAAAATAAAATAAAATTTTAATACTTTTGTCGATTAAGATTTTAATGCATAATGAATTTCATCAGTTTAATAATTATATTAGATGATACGTAAACTTTATTATATATTATGCTAATATATTATTAAAAAAAATTATAAATCATAAGTATTTTGTGGTGAAAACAATATTTTTACGTCAAGTAAAACTATTAAAGACGGAGTCATATATTATTACGTGATATATAAAATTTTTATAACCTTCGATAAATGAATATAATATTAAATGAAAAAAAAAATACATTAATGACCGATATGGTATATTGGTATCAAATTGATGAATGGCATAGTTTGGTTTAGTCCTCCCACGTAGTAGGCTATAGAAATAAAACAAAGTAGTGATAAATATTTTGTGTGATTTTTAAGATATTTATTATTAAAATTAACAAATTTATTAAATACTTTTTTCTCATATAATAAAATGTTGTACATATTGTATTTGTATTATGCTACTGTTTCATTTGATGATTCTGAATAATTTCATAATTATATATAACTTGTTGAAATTTATTAAATGATATAATAAATGATTTAAATTTTCCCTTGCAATAAATTAAAAATAACTAGAAATTAATTAATTAAAAAAGTGTATGATACTCATATTAGAGAAAGAATGAATAAGCATCGAAGAATTCATAAATAATAATAATAATAATAATAATAATAATAATAATAATAAACTTAATTAGTAAATACGGTAGAGTTTAGTGGTTGGATTTATTTGCATATTCATTTTGTAGTATTTTATAAAGACAATATTCGTATTGCTTAAAGTAAGGATTAGTCATTCACTTAAATAAAGGGTAAGAAAGACTTTACGCGACATAAAAAAAACTAAAAAAATAAAATATTTGAAGTGTTTTTTTCTTGTTTTTTTTAACATATTTGGAAAGTGTACAATACAATTATATTAACATCTCAATTTCAACCCCCACCTATAATCATTATTGTATCATAAATTTCATTGATTGTAAAAACATTGGTAGGGCAAACAATAGAATAATGCGTTTGTTGATATAACATTTATTTTTTTTAAGTATTATAATTGTATAATTTCATTCTTCTAAATAGAGTTTTAAAAATTGGTTTGGATTGGCCGATCGAACTAAGAACCGGTAGTCTAGTCGATCCAAGCAAGTTCAATCACAAAAATATTTTTTATCACTTTTAAAGTAAGAAATTCAAAGAAAAACACAAAATGAGAATTGAACCTTGCTCATGCAAGAACAGCCTTATCAAACATAATAATGATCACTTGTTCTAATATATTTGTTTGTAATATATGCAACTTAAATAACTTTTATAGCATATTACTAATTTTAAATTATATATTTAATAATATAATATCTATGTAGATATTACATATATTATTTTGTGATATCAATTGCATGTATATTATATATATACATATTATTTATATTTTAATTTTTTATTGATATACAGTTTAACATGCAATCTTTTTTATGTATTTTTTTATACAAAATAAAAATAAATATAATTTTAAATAAGATGAAAATTTAAATTTAAGATAGGATATGAATTTATTGAAATTTAGAAGTATAAAATATATTTAGCATAAATATTTTTAAAAAAAATTAATAAAAATTCAGTCATGTGATTCAATTAATGATCCATCGATTTAACCTTTGACTTACTGACTTAGTACCCTAAATATAATAATAATAATAATGTTGATATTAATTTATCAATACTAATAATATATATAAATTTTTAATGAAAGAGACTAAAGTCATACAATACGATACATGAGTAATTAAAATTTGGGACAAAATTGCAATTTTAGAGACTAAAACCATACAATTGTAGTACTTGAGAAATCAAAAACGTAATTAAATTTTTTTTAGAGCTTAATAGTGATTTAGTTATACTATAATGTAAAACAATTTTAATTACACAGTCATCAAATAATTCATAAAAAATGATAAGTGTGTTGGCTTTATCTAAAAAGTTATACAAATTATAATTTGATTAATTAAGTGTGTAATTAGTTTTTTTACGGTAACAACGTGGCATTGTTAAATTTTTTTATTACTATTATTATTTGAAATGTTTATTTAACTTTATTAATATTATTTGATAAATATATTTTTTGTAACTTATGTAATAACTCGTCAAGTCATTACACTTAGTATAATACAATTACAACGCACAAAAAAATATAAAATTACAAACTTCTTTGTAATGTGTCATCATAACTAATCCATTGTTCCATTGCATAATAATCTTTAACAATAACTCATAATTTTGAACGAATGTACCATGGGTTTAGTCAATTTTTATTCAACTACTTTTAATTGTTTGCATATTTACACTTTTAAGTTTGAGAATTGGGGCATAAATAATATTTGACACAAAAAAACTTGAGGTCTACCCTAATGTCATTTTACATTTTATTAGTTACTGCAACAAATAAGTTTATTCAATACTTATAATTAAATAAGTTATCTTAACAACCAACAAGTTGGTTTAGATGAAATTGGAACCAATCTCCTTAATGCTTCGAGTTAAAATTTTATGGATGAAAAAAAAATGTGGTTGAAAAAGGAGACTCAACTAATGATATAAGTTGAATTTTAAATATTTCACTTGAATAACATAATTACTATAAAAAAAAAAGTTAGCTTAATAATTTTCAAGAACTATCAACTAATTTGTTAACTTTATTTAAAGGAGTCAAAAATAGTTGAACCAGACAATTTGGTAAGACAAATCAATAGGAAAAAAAAACCCAAAAATAATAAGGCCAATTTGAATTGATTTGATAGACTAAGGTTGAAGTCTTTCAAGCCTATTTGACCCTATATTTTTTATTTTACTTTGTAAAATTTAAATGAAATATAAAATAAATAAAATGTGTCAATTTGACTTAAGTCAAGAAGCCAACTTAAAAGTGACGTTTAAGAAACATAACCTTAGTCTTTGATATATAAAAAACAACTCTACCCATTTTACAACTCTAATTTTAACAAAATTTTTAGTTTTAAGCTAATTTTATAAATACTTTTATCAAACATAGCCTTTGTGAATAATTATTTCATTTATTCTTCATATTTTTTTTCTACTAATATGTGTGAAGAAATTTATCTCAATAAACTCACAATTTTATTATTATCATATTTATACATCTACTTTTTTATAATTATTTTTAGTTTAAAAATATATAATCATCAAAATTTATAATGAGTATCGTTAGAGAAATTTAATTTATCATTAAATATGATTAAATTTTTTTAATTTTGATTAGATCTAATAACTATCGTAAAAGTTCAAGTCTCCATCACTATGAGAAAAGCTCAAGTCTCGATCAATATTTTTTAATATCATTAAATGTTAATTAAATATAATTATGTAACTATTTTTTTAGTAGAAAATATTACAATGGACAATAAGATATTCAAACTTTAAGTTTTCATCGATTTACCTAACCTCTTAATTACTTTAATGTATAAAGTAACTAATTTATACATAATATAAATTATTTGTCAATAATTTTTCAAGTGATTATTTTTAAAAATAATTTAAAAATTATTATAATATTTATTTAACTAACTTTTTTTTCATTAACGTGTCGTGCATGAGTAAAACTAAGTTTTATTCTTTTGACAAGTCTTCGATTTAAATCTTATAGATGAAAAACATGTGACTAAGAAAATAAATTCTACTAAATGTTATTAGTTAGATTCTTGAAAGAGTTTAATATAGACTACCAAATACCAATATAGAAGATATCTCCTTTTGTTGTACACAAATTTTGGAATTTACTTCTATAATTACCTCAATCATTTTTTCTTTCATTATCTTTTACTTTTTTTCATCAATTTTATTGATAAATAATCTATTAGAAAACTTGACTGACCATCTTTAAAGTGTATTTAGTAGTGAGGAAAGAAATAAATAAAAAATAGAGTGAAAAAGTAGAAAAATAAATGAGTAAAAATAGGTATGTATAGAATAGAAATTTAATTGTTTGATTTTTTGGTAGATTCTTTATATATATATATATATATATATATATATATATATATATATTTG